TATATATATATTAATATATAGGAACGTGTCAGTTATTACAAACTTCTGTTGTTTTTCCGAGGACGACGATGTTTTCACAGCTGTAGTCAAACACCATTGTCCAGAAGTCATCGATGGTGTCCTCAAGAGGAAACTGTGTCATCAGATACCCCGACATCGAAGTGTGTGACTGCAGAAAGGGAATGACTAATTTCATCATAACGCAGACGAAAAATGAAAAAAGCTAGGGGTTAAATATCTTGCAAATACAAGGATCATATGGACGGGTTCCTTTGGAGGCAACGCAGGGTAAAAACATAATTAAATAGAGAAAGAAAGTAGACAGAAACGTTTGTAAAGTGTTGTCAAGCGGGCAGCACATCAGTTATGACCTCGTCCATATCCTCTTAGTAGAAGACTCTGAAGAAATCTTATGATTTTTAAGGCCCCAAAATTAGACGCTATGACGATACCCATGCAGTGGGATATACTAGGTCTCATTTTGGTTTCTTTTATGTCCCCTTTAAAGAAAAGACAAGAAATAATCCAACCCAGTTATTCAAAGAGAAACCGCAATACTCGTCTCTTACAATCTAGCAGTGACATACAGCAGGCAACTTATTTTAACCGTTTAAGATTGAGGTATTTGCATTGGGCGATAAGTATCTCTGTTGTGTATCATAAGTTCTTGAATATATCAAAGCTTATGTAACGGAACGAGAAATTACCTGTATCATTACAGCATTAATGTAATCTGTCACGTTCGGTAATTGTGACTGAAGAAAAGGTCTGAACTTGTCCGCTTCAGAAAATACAAAGAATATATGTTACTCATGTAACTAGGTAATCTATGCAAAATTTTAAAAAAAGCACAACATACAACTTCATCACACGAGGATGCAATCTGAGCTCAGAATATACATGAATAGACAAAGTCTACCAAATAACCTACCAAACAAAAGTTGCTATGACTGCATGCGAGAACGGTGCAGGTGATTTTTGTTATGTCGTAAATCGAGTTCTTTAACAATGCAGTGATAATTGCACATGTTTTATCTTTATGATACACATTATTGCATCCAAACATGTGAAGCATGCGTTATCATCTATGGGTCAAGCACAGCCGCCCTAAAACCATGACAAAGTTCAGTGATCAAACGGTTCATTTAACTCTGTGCATGATGTGTTCATGACTGTATTTGCAATAGTGCTGAAGTGATGCTGATGCGTGGTATTTCATTGAAACACTTTGCCGGAAGCACACAGTGCAATGAATTACAATGAACATCAAACAAATGCCAGAAAAGTATTATCACTCAAAGTGTTTAATATATCATTCAATATCGCATTGGCAATCATCGTAAGCAGTGCGAGTTACAACCTTTGCAATTCAATAGATTACTGTAATGACATACCTGCTAAGATGTCCTTATTCCGGTTCTTTTCCAAATTTTCTTCCCGTAATGCAGCTTTAAAACAACCTTGGGAGTAGTTTGGAGTTAATGATTTTAATACCTGCAACAACAGAAGAGTCACCATAGGAGAAAATATACGCGGCATGATAATATTATTAATCGGTGATTTTACTTAAATATAAAACATTTGCATCAAAGACATTCAGATTTCAAGGCAAATGTTACATGCTAAATGCAATCAAAGCAGATGTCAAACCTTATATTCCTGATGAATCTTTGTCTGATTCGCTGGTGTATTCGTAGGACACATTGTTGCCAGGACAGCAGGGAAATTCACTCGAAAAATGAGTGATTCTTGTAAATTGAATCCTTCCACAAGTAATTCGTGCAAGGCGATGTACTGCTCCTGTAATTAAAACAAATAACTGTATTAGTATGAGTGTTGCAAAATCGTTTCAGACAAATCATTGATTGAACGATTTTAGTTTACTTTACAAACGTTGTTCATGGAAACTGCTTAATGTATTGCATTGGAAATATTCAGCGTTACACTAGGTATCATAAGTAACTTGGATGTAAGTATGTTGCGGTTAGTGGTGAGAAATTAGAATGAAATAAATCACAAAGTCAAGATTCAAAAGCAATGGACAGCTGAACTATCAATTAACAACTAAAGTAGAAGTTATACGTTGCATCATGTAGATTTGTAACTCGTCCAGGCACTACGTACATAAGTCTGGATCATGTTCATTCTGTCATTTCTCATGGTTCCGACGTATCTGGGAATGTCGACTTTTCCCGTGTTCTTGCCATGAGTAAGCAATGCAAATTAAACTGATAAAAGTCCCAGTCCTTCCAATGCCAGCACTGTAAAAAATAAATTATAGGGCGAATTCCTCTTGGTGGGATTTCCAGCCAAATTGTCCGTCAAAATTATAAGATAAACATCTATAAAATGTCTAAACGAGTTGATGAAGGAATTATTCAGGACATTGAAGGGATCATTGTCATAATATCTTATCAAAATATATTTTCAAAAATCTGTAATATTATTTTTTTTTTTACTTTTTTCTTTTAATTGGAGACGTCTCAAATAACCGATGAGAACTGTGCATATAATTGATTTTGTTGATAGGAAAAATAACCAATGCTGCTAGCGCTAAACTCAGAACCTCCGGTAACTGAACGTTTTATAAATATATGAGATTGCGTTTTGTAAACAAGGCTTGGTATGTCATGGCATTTAATACACACCACAAGTCTGTCGTAACTATTCTCTTAGCATAAGAAAAAACTGAGAGCCCTGATTATTACTTAAAATTCTTTTAAACCTACCACTACATTTAACTATAGCCTTGTATTTAGGTAATCTTCGTATAACTTCAGTATGACCCTTGTATACACCAACATGTAGTTAATTGGCTATCTGCATAATATAAAGCTGCTAGTATTTTGATGAGGCGGCAAAGTATTTACAGACACATACATATATCAAGAATTCCAAGGTACTCATTTTATTCATATTCGTTGGAAAATGCAATGCAAGGTGTAAAACCAGAACACTCTGGATAAAAAACACACATTTCAGAGTGGGTGTTATTAGGTCTATCATTCTAGACAAATTAGCGGCTTGAAATCCAAACTGGAAACCCAACGTAAATTTGTATGTCTTGGCCCAGCCGTCCGAGCCACACTTGATGCTCTGCATGAGATTAGTTTGAATTAATATCGGTAGAAAAAAATGAGATAACTATATAATTGCCTGTAAACACTATTGCATATACTGCTTAAACAAGAAGCCAATGACCTTAGCGGTCACCTGAGATATATATATAGGTAGCGGTAGCTCAATTTCGTTGTTGAGATGTGACATGGAAATCCACATGTTAACAAAGTGAAATAAAAAAAATGATCATGTAACCAAAGGATAACAACTAAAACAAGAAAATGCAGCAAAGCTGCTGGACACCAAACCATTTTATGAAAATGATTTACTGACAGTCCACCAACCCCGAGGGAACGGATCCTGCATACTTTAATCTATTTAATTATAATCATATAAATTGTAAATGGCATTAATTGTGTTGTTCAGAATATTCAGTTCACGCTCAATATCTAGTTGTAACCGCACGTTTTGGGCCAAATGTCAATGATTTGGTAATAATGTCATCTTCTAAGAGAGAGAGAGAAGCCGGGGACATAAGACGATTCACATAAACTATGATTTACACCTTTTGTCAAAATTGCAGCAAATTTTGCATATATAATTCTTTTGACAATGTCCCTATTTGACTATTTTGGATAAAATATCAACCATTTTCTAGGATAAAGGGTCAATCGTAGCCCCCCTCCCCCCGTCCCTTTAAATAATAGTTATTAATTCTCGAGACTGCAACGAAGACATATTTTGACAACGCTGGTTTTTTGGTTGTTACCTTTTCAGGCGCTAACTACTAGCCAAATGCCACCTGGCTAATATCTCCCCATGTGTGTATGACTGCGTGTGTGCTGGAAATGTATACGTAATGTGGTGTGTTTGTAGCGGGACCGTGCTTCATACGGTATCATTTATAGTGCCACCTCGCTTGAATGCTACAGCACAAATACCGCAACATTCTCCCCAGACCAATTTATACTCCACCTGGGTTGTTGGAGTTGTATAGGCAGGAGAAAAACACTTGCTCTGCATATCCATGCATACGACAACTTCTGGGATCGAACCCCGGCCGCATGGAAGGCCGTTGTGTTAACTTTGACCACTCGACCATATTAGCATATGACATATTGTTCAGAACGACTTTAACAAAAAGGGACCGAAATTGCCCCTGTCCCAATATGGGGACATATATTTTGAAATAAAAGTCCTCAGCAGGCAGGGGTTTAGGGGGATAAGGTATCCTGGTTTAAGTTAAGTTATGTTAACCCACCCCCGTACGAAGAAAACATAATAGTACACCCATTGAATAATGACAGGACTGGATGTTCACTCTACTGACAAAATGTAACTGTTAAGTTATGTAGGAAACAGTAATTTCATGTGTATGTGTGCCAGCTGTTTGGGTCTCGCCTATTTCATATTACAAGTGAAATAAATATAGCGTATTGAACGGGAAAACCATGAAATTTTCTATTTCTTACATTTCTTTCACGTTTCGCTGCGCAAATATTGCTACATCAGAAAAGCGCGGGAATGTATAACGTAGTTTTTGACGCCAAATTATAATGACGTCATGCTTGACAACAATACAAAGCGCCACTTTGAATGGGTTTTCACTGCAATTTTGCCGTTTGCTAGTATATCTGGTAAGATTTCCAGACAAAAATGATATTAATTGTGTAGTTATGTAAAAACAACAATGTATGCTGCAAAGGTAAACAGCTCAACCACTTATACTGCCGTCACTTCATCTAAACTTGAAACTGAAAATCTACGCAGAAATATAATGTACCGTTCAGATTGGACAATACTTACAGAGTGAAGTTTTTACTTGTGAAGATATACTGTTTCGTTTATCTTCACTGCATTAAATATATGTTTTTTATTAAATAGAGAATTCATGATATTTTACAAGTAAACTGCAATCAATACCGATACGGTAGGGTTTACCAACATATTTTTGTAGACAGTATGCGGCCTTAATTTGCCAGAAGGCTTTCACGCATGGGGAAGCACCGGAAGTGGACAAAGTGTTTACAGATCAAACCCCGGCGGCGCTTCGCGCCGCTTGGTGGTTTGAAAAAATATTAAAATAAATTATTTTTGGGGGATTTTACGTCATAATGTTTCATTACGTCATCACTATCTGTGTTTGTCCAATTAACATAAATATGCAGTTCCCTTGTTGAACTATCTAAATAGGTGAAAGGGCTAGTAGAAACTAAGAAACTCTTTCAGTTGTTTTGTATATATACATATTAGATTCAACAGCAAAAAGACAGGGTGAATATTAGCACTTTATAAGCGACACAACTAAATTAAGATTGGTACCTGCAGTGTACAATCATCTGCCCCGTCAGTTGTGTTCTGTATGACGTCACACGGCGGTCAAAGAGGACGAGCTCCAACGTGTCCGGAGTTCCATGGTCAGGCCATTTAGTAAAGTGAAACTGATGGACCTGACGCTCTTCTTTTGTCTACAGTGAGGATCATCGGATGCATTATGACAGTTATGATCAGCTCACTAATGTTTATCACTTACATTATAAAGAATAAACAATAATATTTCATGTTGGTTACATAATGATGTTTAATGAAATCAGTACCTTTTATGGGTGATTGAAATATCACGGATGACATAGAAGGCATAGGTCATCTCTCTGTCAAGTTTGAGTTCAAATGTTTGTGTAGCAAGTGATTCTCCTTCATCAGGCCAGTATTTGTGACATTTCACCTGTAGAAATACCCAAAGCGAGTTTGCAATTGGTATGCAAAGTTGTACTTACAAGCAGGAGAAAAGAAAAAAAAAAATATTCACAAACCAATCACAATCTCATATGTTTTTTTTTATTATTTTATTTACTTTTCGGGCAATATCTAGTATACTAGAAAACATAAATATACACTAGCATAACCAAATACATACATTGTGACCCTCTTGGACGTTTGTCAGCATAACAATCTTCCCGGAATTCACCTGCCACACCATCCTCCAAAAGTCGTCAAGAGTGTTTTTCTTTGGTCCTTTGTACAGCAGTATTTATAAATTGGAACGAAATGACAATTATTATTGGACAAACAGTTACATAATGTCAATGTATTAATAAAGCTAATGCATATACATAACGGATTGTCCCCCTTTGATCAGAAGAGGCTTTTGATGTATTTGTGTTCGGTTTGTCGCTATAGATTGTAGTTTAAACTTTCTTGTGTGGGAAGGTTTTAATAAAATAAAAAAAAATGCTTTCAAACGTATGGTATAATACCTTGACTGGCAATGTACGCTTTTTCGTTTCCAATACCCTGTAATAAATCAATATAATATATTATTGTTATTAATATTACATGGGTACAACTTATTATACACTGTGTAGTAAATATAGTACCTAACAAATTAAATGTTTTTTTTTGTTTTGAAAAAAAGATGTCGTAATTCAAGTTAAATGTTACGTTTATTGGTATATCTGTATAGATGAATTTAAATTGTCATGGCGTCGAACACATAACAAACGAAAACAACACTAATCTTAACAAAACCACCAGTATTGCTTTTATATGTATGTTACAATCAATAAAAGACAGCTTCATTTCGGGGCCAACATACTTACATCGATATAATTTGCGTTGATGTAGCTTGTATCGATATCCTTGCCTTTTGTATCTAGTACGATTCTGGAATGGTCATCTGCAATATACAGTCGAACCTCGTTATCTCGAACTCGTTTAACTCGAAGACCCCGTTTAACTCGAAGTGTTTCATCGGTCTCTGCCAAAACTCTTCTTAATCTTAGTAATAAAAACTCTGATAGTTCGAACTCTGAAAACTCGAATAACTCGGATATCTCGAAGTGAAATCTCGGTCCCAACAACGTAAATCCTACATAAAAATATCGCTTACCTCGAAGTTTCTTAAGATTCACAAGTCGATCATATATTCTTGAATTATTTGATACATATTAGACGCAGTGCTACGGTAAACATCGTTCTCATAGAGCAGCTTACGCTCGGTCATAATTTCTTCGATTAAACTTATTGTATTAAAATGTGTTTGACTGTAAAAACACTCTGTTCAAATAAAGAAACAGACTTTATCAAGGTAGATTAACAACAATTAGTACTCACTGCGAGCCCGTAAACAATATGGCATATTATTTACACCAAAGCTGCCGACACATTCTAACCGGTAAATGGGTCACTGTGTGCGGTCATGCGTAAATAAGCTCCACAGTAAAAATCACAACCTAGGACTGGTTCGCCGATTTATGTTTTTACAGGAGCTTGTATGGCAGTGACACTGATAATTAATTGAGGGATTATAGGAACATTACGATAATTATTATTGAGTACGTCGTGTTGAGGAGATGTCAAGTGTCATTGGGGTCTATAAATGTTGATATGTTTCCTGATAAACTCATACCCATTTCGAAATGTCGAAATCAACTGAGCAATCCAACGAAGGACCCGGCTCCACCGGGGGGATACTTGGATCAGTTGAAAGGGTGAAAACCGGCGTGAAGAGAAAGATTGTGTATTGTTTACGCGTGTACTCATTAAAAACATCATTTACGTCTACGCTCCAATACCGTGATTTGTGTAAAGACCTGCGCACTTTCATTTCCGCTGTCAGCATAGCGAGGTCGGAGACAGCATGTAAGTTTTACAGTAGACGTTCTTCCTGTTTGTATGTGTGGTTATTGGAACATTGATTTGTATCAATTAATTAATATGATTATGAATAAATTGTTATTTTTATTTTATATCGTTATTTTTTTGTCATTTATCGACTGTTTATATAAGTTGTTGATTTTTCCGACAGTCAACGTATTGATAGCCTCATATTTGACCAAACACTTTACCAAGCTTTATGCCAAACATATGAACTCGCTTAACTCGAATACTCGGATAACTCGAAGTTTTCCAGCGATCCCGTCGACTTCGAGATAACGAGGTTCGACTGTAGTTATATACTAACATGTAAATAAATGTGTGATAAACAAAATATGTGTGAATTCATAAAGTATTCTCTATACAGTATATCGTCATCTATTTTTGTTATGTTCATATAGTTAAACTGATTAAGATAATAACTCTGTTATTTCATAGAGTATCGTTGTACATGTAGTACAGAAATAGAATAGACAATTCTTACATGGAAAGGTTGTCTTGAATCTGTTCTTCGGTTTGTTTGATGTCTTTTTGCCAGCCTCGTGTGGATATACTGCTCCCCATGGAAACGTCTAAAAGCAATGTATTTATTAGGTAAAATATTATCATATGTAGGAACAAATTCAAGGAATGTCTATTTGCTTGATACCAGTAAAATAGTGTGTTTTCACGGTATTGAAGAATCAACCTCAAGAACCTCTAAGGATACGTCTAATTCCTTCCTTATGTAATGATTTGCTACATGTATTAGTGCTGCTCGATACTGGTGTTAGATATATCATCAATGAATGATGTACACATGCATTCAAACCTGAAATTCGTCTTGAAATGCTGCCGCTTCATTTACGACTTTGCTATCGATGATAGACCGCAGTTCATGAATAGGGACACCGGTGACGTCAACGTTGCTATACACGACGTCATCATCAGTTTTTGGGTCAATGTCATGTACGTTCACGTAAACCTTTCTGTCTTCACTTGTGGTATCTTAAATATCAAACATATGTATTAAAGAAAAACTTGATACTTGCGTAAAGCTTTAATTTTTAACAAATATTAAAAAGTATCCAACTTACATTGGTATATGTTATATACAGAGGATCTGTCATTCGTTTCCCTTCATGTTAGTTTTATGATACAAATTTTGGATTTTTCATTTTGCGAGCCTCTGAAAAATCCGAAATTAGTTTCATAAACCTAGTATGAAGGGAATCGAATGACAAAATGTTTCTATCATATAATACAAAGTAAACTGTTTAATTGTGATCTGAAACGAATATTTATCACTTAGCCGTCTTTGAAATAATGAAAATTGCGTCCGCTTCACAATGACGTGACAGCACATTGATTATTTCTGTTCGATTGTGACGTCATTTTCGGAGTGATATTACACACGTTACATAAACATAATTGATGTGATGGCTTTATGACACTATTTAACACGGTATTCATATGAGAAATAAGTATACGATGATATATGGAATACGACAATGACTTATAATCAAAAGTCAAAATGTATTACTACTGCTGCACTACTAAGATACAGTTTGACCCAGTCAAATGTTATCCTCCACATTTACATAAAACAACAGTGATGCAGATAACACCTTACTTGATTATGACATTAATACGTGGTAACTTATATCTACACAATTACCTCCACTACTTGTTTGCGTGTCTGACGTTTCAAACGGGATTGGTAAATACTCTACATTTGTAAACGTATTGCCTCTGTATTCACGGTGATTTTCTTTATTGTGTTTTGGTAATCGTTTCCTGAAAATACAGACATGAAACAGAATCGAAATGTAAACGATCAATAAATATTGGAATATCATCCGCAAAGGTTTAAAATACAATTACCGTGAGTGCATACCTTCTAAGGATGATGACAGTTGCTATAACAACAAGAANATATTAGAAGTCGTCCCCTAAACAAATCGTGTTGTCACAAATGATACATTAGATGGAATGTCCAATGCCATAATGCACCAACATAATAATGTTTGGCAACTAAAAAGAGAAGGATAATTCACATCTACTTGGCCTCAATACATGTATATGTCAAACAATTATAGGCCACAGCAACCATGTTTCATAACCGAACGGAACATGAGACTTTTAACACATAAAACGAACTTAACGTACCCTTTTTTGTATTATCAAAAAAATGAAATGATCGGCAAATAGAAAAAGTGACTCTGTTTGCGAGCATTATTTTACCTGAACAATCCCCGCTACTTCTGGAACATAGTGAGTCTCGGCAGTTTGCCGGACAAATCTGCTTACAGTCAATGCCATAAAAACCGGGTGCACATTCTAAAACACAATTAAACAAATACATGCATTGACGTCTCCTTGCAGTTATGTTTACATACTATTTGTAGTATGGCAATTATATTTGCCTTGTTGTAGGCTGCACAATAAAAATAAGTCCATTTGTTATTTGATTTATATAATGTTTGTGTTAATAATGTACATTTAAAGTATCCTCTTGACGTATGATATCAAGTTTCTAACAGCGATATAGTTTTGATATACCCCAAAATTACTTACTCTGTCTGTTTTACGATGTCAAAAATGTAATACTCAACACGCTACAAAACATGATCTCATGCAGTCACGTTTCAACGATAAATCAACTGAGAATATATATACGCAAGATCATAATGATATCTTTATGAACACATTTGTACCGTCTCAAAAATAATGTATCTGGTTAAACAAAACTCGGGATTAAAGGACTAACAATGCTATTGAGATATCGGTGATTGCTTTCGTTAAAAAACATTTCGTTACGATTCTACAACATTTATGATCACCATTGATTGTCCCAAATGTGTTGTTATACACACTTAAAACGTATACTTAATGCAGCAAAACAAAAATGTTACAGTAGTCAGTGCAACAAAGGATACATATCCTTATATTTAGAATTAATGTTATTGTATGTGTAACCGACCATTTCAAGTTTCAAACTAATAAATAGGGAAAATATGATTATATAATCTAACTTCTGCAATGACCTTACATATCACCATACCTGTACATAACCCGCTGGTCTGATTACATATATCCCTTTTGCAATTGGACGGGCAGCTTGTGTTGCAGTTATCACCTAAATATCCAGGTCTGCATGCTTAAAGAACAACATAGGCAGTTTTTTGAGACTAGATAAAACATCGGTCACTTTACATTACAAAAAACAAGATATATTAGGTATATATTCAAACAAGAACTACAAGAAAACGCAGGTTTGAATATAACATAATTACGACTTTCCAAGTATCTCTCTTCAGATTAAAATACAATTGTATCGTATCTATCTTCAACTACATTTAGTAATATAGTCAATCATTAGAAATTTAAACAAATGTTTTAAATAAATTACTTTGGGCATACACAACGAAGCTCTAAATACCTCTGATTGGAAATTTAGAAATGTATTATCATGCATAGATATCAGAGAATACCTCAACAAAATATTTCTGCTAAAACGAATGTCAATGACAGAGTCACCTATACATTTCCCTCGTATTGTGTGCATGTGTTGTTTTCACAACTAGAAGAACATAACCTATCACACGTCATTATCGCTCAAGCAAGCTAAAACTACACAAATTTGTGGATCTTAACTTCGGTTTTTAATTTCACTCGTTATGAATGTCCATATGTAACCAATGAATACCAACACAATGTAAAGATTGTACTTAGGCGTGAGTAAATGATTTTTTTTGGTGGCGATGGTAGGGGTAGGGAAATCGGTAGGTGTGAAAAAGGATGCAGAGCGAAGAAGGACAGGGTAATGGTAAGCAAAGCGGGTTATAGGAACACATAGTTTCTTGCTATTGTTTCTATTATTGTCCTATAACTTGGTAGTATTTTATAAAAGGTAAAACGCTAGTATGGAATGCAAATTTACGAGAAAGATAAAAATGATGTATAACAAATCATCTCTTCAATTTGAACACAAAATTTACCTTCGAAACCTTTAAATAGCCATGAATTGTGCTAAAAGCAGTCATGCACCATAGAAAGGGTTAAATATTAAACGCATCTAACGACCGACATTTGGATAAATCGTGTCAATTTTCCCCGTATCTATTAAGGTTGACCGTTTCCATAATTAATATATACTTTCTAGGTATACTTATTCAAAGATGCGTGTTTTTTTAGAGTATGACGCACATATATGCAGTGTGCAAATTGAAGAAACGTTAGACCGGCATTCCTGATGAATGATTCCAGCTTACATTTCTTTTCAAAAATGATATTAATCTACCCAATCCTCAATGTAATACAGGCAAACCTCGTTATATCGAACCATTTTAACTCAAATATCCCGTTTATCTCGAGGTACTTATTCGGTCCCGGCCAAATATCTTCTTTATCTTATTAAATAAAACTGATAATTCGAACCCTGAAAAGTTGAAAAACTCGGATTTCTCAGAAGTAAAATATTGGGTTTCAATAGCGTTAATCCAAAATCAAAACATCGTCTACTTCACAATGTTCGAATTTCCTTTGTCACTTGTTAATTCTTTGATACAAATTAAACGCAAAAATACGACATTTCGCAATTCCGTGTTTATGAATATCTTTCTTGAGTAGACTAGCATAAAATCGGTAGGCTAAAAAAGAATTTTTGATAAAGCTAAGGACTGTAACATTTACGGACTGTCAAAACCATTTTATTCATAATAACAAACCGCTTCATCAATATTGATCAACAATAATCTGTACTTACTGCGAGTCCGTTTAATAATTTTTACCCCCTAACAGACGACAGTGCTAACCGGAAAACTGGTCACAAAGTGTGGTCATGCATACAAGAGTTCCACAGTTAAAACCACAACCTAGAACAGCTTCACGGGTTCATGTTTTCACAGGAGCCAGTATGGCTTTGAAAGTCGATCGAGAGATTTAAGAACAATACGACAATTGCTCTTGATTTTATCGAGTTGGGGAGATGTCAGGTGTCATAATTGGCTTTAATGAATACATATGTTACATGTACGATATAATCTGGTTACAAATGCAGACCTGGGAAGAGTTTGCCAAGATCTATACTAGTCAAAAACAACATTTAATCACTAGGCCCGTCCATATATCACAAATTCACAACATGGTCAAACCGTTTTGATCGCGTTTAGAAACGAAAGTACGTTTTTCTGGAATAACTTACTCTAATTTGTAAGCGTGTTTATTATACAATTACATAGCTGTTTTTGTTATATTGGTTACGTATACCAGTTATCGTTTGCTTATAAGTATTAACTATAAATAAAACGAACAACTGCTAGTGCTATGACCCAACAGGAAAATTCATACAAAATTGATGAACCCGCATAACTCGATTATCGGATAACTCGAAGTTGGTACACGAACCCATCGACTTCGAGATAACAAGGTTTGACTGTACTAGCACAGCATGTTATCGTTCAAAGTTAGAGAGTCACCCCTTACCATGGCTAAAAGAAACAGAGCTTTAAAGAAGACATGGAATGTGAGTACGTCTATTTCCACTATAATTTGTTATGAAATTTAAGCAGTATTGGGTATTATTTTCAAACTTTATTCATTTATTTAATACTCATTCACAAAGCTGCAAGACAGCGGTAACTTACTGCTATAATTCTGATTAATTATTGTTCAATATGAACTGAAAGTTGGAGGTTTTGATGGTATAGTGGATGTCTAAATAACTTTAATGTACTGAAGTGTATTTCTATCCATCTTATATATTCTCAAACATTTGAATACTTTTCTTTAATGCAATTTAAACTAGTGACAAATACGAAAATAAACGACCATATAATGACAATACGATTTCATTGACAACTGAAGCATCCGTTTTCACTCAGGAAAATAGATTTTGAGATATATTGCAATATAAGTCATCAGTGTGTAGATCAGGTGTTTTTTTTTTAAATACTTACGACTACAGTTTCCGGATACTTTGTCACAGACATGATTGGTACAACCGACAGAGCAGACATCACAGGACGATCCGAAGAATCCATCCTCACAGTCTGGTCATTTCAAAATGAAAATGAACTGTTTTTAGTTCCATATTGACATTTCAACAACATATTGATATACAAAACGAATATATCAAATATAAAACAACGTTGTATTGTATGCATGTCAAACATATACATATTAGGTATCTTCTTTTTTTTAACGCAATGCTACCTCAATTTGATGTTATTTGGTTTTCATTTTAATGATCGGGAAACATACCGTCATTAAATTATCATCGAACCTGATATCTAACGACCATGTTGTTAAGTTTTTTTGTGTACTTCTTCCGGATTATGTTTTTATGACACACTATTTTTTTCTGCTGTGTGTTTATCTACATATTTTATCGTGTTCTAGATTACCTATCTAGATTCGCAAAGAAAACGGAAAAAGCCAAAAGATGTGCAGGTTTCACCTATATACATGTTTACCTCAGTTGTATGGCTACACATTATACACCATTAATTCAATTGCCACACCCTTTTGATTTTCATTAAGTAGACGTTATAAACAAATCAAAGTTCGATATTTAACAGTAACTTGAAGTTATGTGTATGCACAGCTGATCTATATTGTCTATGTTAACATAACAAATACAATATATGAAAAATGAAAATAAATCTTACTAATCCTTGTATACATGTAACACATGTTTATACATGTTTATCATACTTTCCACTAATACATACCTTCACACTCTCCATTGCTTTGCAAACATCGGTTGTCTTTACATTTGAACAGGCAGGTCTGATTGCAATTGCTGCCATAATACCCGGGAGTACACGCTTTCATGGAAAATCACAAAGAACAAGTCAGAGTACGAAACAAAGGTAAGAAGCTATATTTTCATTTTTCTACGTTTTAGGTCATTATTTGTCACTGAAACGGTGATTGCATTCAATAATGCTCGATAAATGTACGTTTTAAAATTTGTTTATTGTTAACCGAATCTGTCCAATGTATAATAAAAAATGTAATCATAACATGACATCTTAAGTTGATAAATATATATCAGCAACAAATACCTCCGAAGTGATATCATTCTAAAACCAGAACGAATGAGTGTTCCCACAAAGAATTCATTATATTTTTTTTCATGACAAGAATTTTAATGAACACAAAATGTAAAAAAAAAGTATTGAATTCCATATCAATGGTAATTTAAACTCAAGTATATCGAATCAAACGCCTTATTTAGTCTATAGCTTACAGTTCTATTTTATTTAGGAGCAGAGGTATTTGTTAATCGTTGGCTGATATTAAAATTTCTAGTTTTATTTTGCGTATTGCCCATTCATTAAACAAAATATGAAGGAATATTACAACATTTTATATCGTCAACTCTAAAGAAATAAAGCAGTGTGGGAATTACTTGTCTGACTCCCCATACAACAACTTAATATCCATGCATTTGATGATTGTGACCTTGAACGAAAGACAACGTCAACAATGTTTACAAAACTGAATTCCATTCACATGAAAAACCTACTTGTAAAATGTCCAGACCCAAAGACCTTTGGTCATGAAGAAAAAACAAGCTTAAGGAAAAGAAAAGAGATAAGAAAGCTAAGCCATAGTAAAATATTCGGTATCAACATAACAATTTGAATATGTTGCACACGATGATGATTTAATTGTATAGTGCTCCAGGAGGACTTGTATTAACGTACCTTGAACACCCACACATGTGTAAGGCAATTAGGTCACGTTTGTCATAAAATTAATTCTGAAACTATGTCACTGTTCCTGATTTAAGCTTCATATATTCATACCTTTATGCATTTATCTTGTTTTGAAATTCCAAGCGGGGTCCGATGCGTATGTTAAATCTCTGTTGGCGTTGACCCTACCTTTATAACTATATGATTTTACTTCTTTATTTTCGTCAATAATCGTGCATATTACCATACCTGTACATAACCCACTTGTCTGATTACATTTATCTTCTTTACAATTGGACGGGCAGCTTGTGTTGCAGATATCACCATAATATCCAGATTTGCATGCTTAAATAAACCAGAGCATCAGCAGTCATTTGAAACATAATACAGACATCGTTCACTTTACTTTACCAACAAAATGTTGATTAGGTATATGATGGTCAAACTAGACTGACAAGAAACGCAGGCTTGAATATAACATAAATAAGCTTTTAAGAAAAGTTCTCTTCATAGAAAAAATACAATTGTATCGTATATATCTTCAAGTACATTTAGAAATCTAGTCAAGCATATGAAATGTGTATCAACAATTAAAATTCATTACTTTGAGCAAACAAACGAAAATCTGAATACATCTGATTCGATTTGTAGAAATGTCTTACAATTACATCAAACATTTTTTTTTCTGCTAAACGTTCAATAGAAAAGTCACCATACCTGTACATTTCCCTTTATTTTGTGTGCATGTGTTGTTTTCACAATTAGAGAAACATAACAGACCACACTTCACCCCATAGAAGCCGTTGAAGCAAGCTGAAAGTACACAAATATGTGAAGCTAAACTTCGTTTTTTTATTTCAATCGTTTCCATGTGCGAAATATTGATTACGAAAATATTGTTGAGATTTTACCTAAGCTTGAATGAATCAACGTGTTTTGGTGTGGGGAGGCAGGGGAAGGGAAAATCAGTCGTGTAAAGGGATGCAAAGCGGATACGGCCAGCGTAATGGGAAGCAAATCGGATTAAGGCAACATATATCTTCTTGCTATTTTTACATCTTCTATACTCGTCCTAAATGATACCAAATACGTTTACACACACAATGCACGTATTAAAAGTGACGCAACGTTTCAAGACCGACTAACCCTTTGTAAAGCTATTACTTAGTGAGATAGTTATATTGTTTACCTGTACAACGATGTAGGGGATTTTTTTTATAGTTTTTATGTCACTCGACGAAATCAAACTTTGATATCACATATATTCTAAACTGATTAATCTTATTGAAGTTATTGCCCTAGAACTTTGTAATATTGTATTGAAGTAAAACACTAGTGTTGAATGCAAACTTAATTGAAAGATAGGAAATAATTATAACTATGCATCTGTTTAATTTGTATGTAAACATTACGTTTGTAAACCTTTAAATATCTATGAATTGCGTTCAAAGCAGCCATGGATCATGAAAAGGGCTCCACATAAGACGTATTTTACGACATGCATTTGAATAAATCATGTCACTTTTTCTCTCTACCTATGCATGTTAGCCGTTTCCATAGTCGTTATATACCCTAGGCATAGTTATCTCGAACATCCATAGAGTTTTAGAGCATAATGCACATATATGCAGTGTACATATGGAAGAAGCGTGTCTAAATAAGCTTTGATTGACTGTAGTTAATAAATGGATTTTTTATTATATTTTTTGTTTTATCTATGCATGCTTTAATTTAAACATTAACAACAATCTGGTTACAGCGACAGTGATAAACATTTTATATACTTTCTTAAACAGGCGAATGTTTTTCTTCATTGCAATATAAAGTAATGAAGTATAAGCAAATAAACGACCATAATCACAATATGTTTTCATTGACAATTGGATCACACATTTAAACTAAGGAAAATAGGTTATGAGATAAAATGAAATATAAGCCATCAGTGAGTAGGTCAGATGCTCTTTTTTTTGTAATACGTACGACTACAATTTCCGGATATTTTGTCACAAACACGATTGGGACAACCGACAGAGCAGTTATCACAGGACGACCCGAAGAATCCATCCTCACAGTCAATGCAAAATGAAAAAAAAAAAACTTTATCTATGTTCCTATTGACATTTGAT